CCTGGCATTAATGTGTGGGCTTGTCACACGTGGGGCCACCCATGTGCGCTGTGACTGGTGCGGCGCGTGGCTGGGATCAGTGGGTTAGATGAACTCCCTTACTGAATTTGTATTATTTTTAATCTACTTGTGCATTCAGCACCTTGCTCCATCTGCTCTGGTGGCTTCTGGATCTTTGCAAGGGTCTTTCTGTAGCTGTTTTAGATCTGGGGAATTCTGGGAAATCAAGCCAAGAAGCTTGACGTGAGGAGACTGACGTGAAAGTCAATTAGGATTTATTGAAATGTACACCAGGAAGCTCAGGCACAAAATCGATGGACAATGGGGCCTGTGTGCTGCTGACTTCCTGTGTGTTCTGCAGTGTATTCTTTTCTGCCTGCATTACCTATTAAATTTTTATAAGCACTTTTTATTCAAGCCAGAGCCAGAGTAATGAAAAGTTTATGAAGGGATCAGGGTGTTTATTTCTCAATTTTCTTGAGCTACAGTATGAATCCCTCCACCTTGGTGAATCGATTCATAGAAATAAGTGTTTGCCAGAAACAAAGAAATCAGTCTCTTGTAGTGAAACATTCATTTGTTCTCTCTCTCTCTGTGTGTGTGTGTGTGTGTGTGTGTGGTGTGTGTTGTGTATGTCAGGGTATGATAAATTATCATCTCCACAAACCTATATTTTCTTTGAGCTCTTCAAGATGTCTCAACACACTATCTTGAATTCAGTATGCATACAACTTCTCTCTCTAACAGAACTATTTGTAATTTTTACTTCAATAACTCTATGAATGGAAGGTATTTTGAGATATTTCTTTAAGTTGATCAGCGGAATCTTTGGTGGCCATTAGAAAGAGATAATTAGATATGATGTGCCTCTGTGTAAGAACAATGTACTGTCCTTCTGAAGATGTTAGAATAGATGACTTGGAAAGTCTTTACCATAAAGAAGTGACAAATGTCTGTGGTAATGACCTGTTTTAAACACAGCCTAACACATCCACCTACTGAAACATTGCACACTCTCTGTGAACATGCAGTCTCTCATTTTAACATACTCATTAAACTAAATTTAATTACAAATGAGATAGCTTTTTATGATATTTATTACAACAAATAAAAATAATTGTCTTGGCTTTTGGTTCTCACTTCCATGAAGTTTGTTTGCTGGATGACAGTTGGAGGCACCTTTGTGCCCTTTGGCGGTTGTGTGTTTTTAGCCTTTGTGTTACATAACAGTTGGGTCCTCCTAAACTCTAAGCTCATGTACTTAAAGCTTGTTTTGGTTGGCATAAATTTGAGTTGTTGGTGATTGCCTAAGTCTTCTATTCTTCACTGAGACTTGTGTTCCATTGTGGCCCTGGCTCATAGGCTCTCTTCCACCTTTTCAGAGAGGGAGGCTGGTCCCCCAAAGGACTTGATATTCTCTGTCCTGAGATAAACAAAACAGCTTTAGAACTGTCAGAAGCAACAACAGATCCTGAAGGCTAACCATTACCAGCTTTTGTCATGTGGTTGTAATTGTTGCATGAATTCTGCTTCAATCAGGGAAAAATATGCTTAAGTGCCAGTAAAACTTTTTACACTGCAATGAAATTTTGCAATTTATGGCTTTCTACAGATCAGCTCGTGTTACTAGGCAACAGCCTGTGTGTTGCTCCCTCAAATTCTCCTTTAATGTTTGGCGTTGGTACAAATTCTAGCTTTAAGAAATCGTAATGAACTATTGTAGACACTGATGTAGAAAGTGAAATGGAAGTCGTGATGTGGAAACAGGAAGCAATGTGAAAAAAATACCTTTGATGGAAAACAGTGGGGACATTTAGAGCTTAACTCTACGCCCCTCATGGGGAGAGAGTAGGTCCACATGAACTTAGTGGTCATGTGTCTGTCTGGCTGTTAGGTGGGCTCCGTTTTGGCTACTTAAGCCATCATAGTTGTGGTGATTCTTTTAATTGAGTACCCTGCAGGATATTCCGTGACCAGGCATGTGTGGTATTGCTGTCTGCTTTCTAGGAACCCATATACATTTGAGAGAAGATAAAGCCCCAAAAGAGATAAAGGGCTCTCTCCTTCCATATTTAAATACAGTCGGCTTGAGAGAGTATGTTGCTGCTCAGACTAACTCTTAGAATAGACACCAAGTTTTAGCATCCTCATTCTACAGGAAAGAGACGACAGTTTGTCCCTCAAAGCAGTACCAAGTTAAATGGCCAGGGAAGAGTGATGGCGTCTCAGAATGTTTGGTGTCTGAGAGTGAGTCAGGGAGAGCCTAGGGGCCACGTTGGAATGTCTGTGCTGTCCTTGGCTCATGGTTTGGAAGTGTCTTCTGGTATGAATGATTTTAGGGTTTGGAATTTGTTATTCTTCTCAAGCAGCATACACCATATTTCAAAATTAGTCACGGTGCCAAGAACAAGAAAAGTCATATTTTGAGTGAAAAATCCCAGGGTTTTCTTTTAACCCTAATATTGGAAATGCTGGAGATGTGGAAGACCTTCCCCTCACCTGCCAAGGTGTGGAGATTAGAGTTCACATTCTGGCAGAAGCCTGACCTCAGGAACTAGCTCCTCATTATTCAAGCTGGAAGAGTCAAGAAATCTTCTTGCAGGAAGCACACCTTCCAGACCCACTGCACAGAGGTCTTGTAGCCGTCTCTGGTCCTCGGCGGAAGTGACTAGAAGTTTTAAACTTGGGGGCACCGTGCCAACAGCACAGCTCTAGAGCAGGCTGCATTTCTCTCTGCCACAGGCCTTTTGTTTATCAGGATTGGAAAGATGGTGAGTGAGATATATCCCAGTTAACTGGGTGGCTTAGCCCAAATCTCTATTTCTCATCTTTGGGGAAAAAAGTGTATTTATTTGTTCATTTATTTTGGGCACCAGGGATTGAACTTAGGGCCTCGCACTTGCTTAGGCAGGTGCTTACCTTTCAAACCACACTCCCAGCCTGTTCTGTACCTTTGTGGTTGTTCACGTAGTGTCTTCAGTGTATGCCCAGGCCCGTGTGAACTGCACTCTACCTGTTCACAGTCCCTGTGGACCCCAGGTGACAGGCAGAAGCCACAGTACTGGGCTGTCTGTCGAGATAGGGTCTTACATTGCTGTCCCCAGCTGTCCTCGTACTATGATCCTTCAGGTCTGGCCTCATGCGTAGCCAGGATGATATGTGTGAGCCACCATGCCTACTTTATTTAATGTCTCTAACGAAGCTTTGTGGGACGTAGAAAGAATCAAGAATTTGGCCCAGGGGCATACATGCTTCATCCTCATTTGGATTCCTGCAGCAAAGTGAGCATAATAGCAGAATGGCTTTTAATAGTGTCAAAATTAACAGCATTTATTCATCAAATTTCCATCTCGTGTGATAGATAAATATTTTTCTATCATGCTGCTCGAAGGGAAAAATCTTATGGTGCTTAAACTCTTAAAGGTTTATTTATCCAAAGCTTCCTGTATGTGAGTGATTTAGAATTAAATATGGATAAGGCTAAATTATCGCCTTCTGTGCTACATATTTTTGAAAAAATAGTCATATTTCTAATTCTATCTCTCTGATTGTGGAAATTTAGTTTTTTGCTCATTAAATTCTCAAGCACGTTGGGTTGGCTTGATAGATGAAGACCCTGTCTGCGGGATTTCAGTGGGGCAGAAGGCTATACTCACTGGGTCTGTGGGACCCAGAAAGCTCCCAGGCCACTGGGCCTAGTGTGGAAGGCAAGTGGGCCCCAAACTGAGTTGACGTGCCCTTCTCAGCATTTCATGGTCCAAGTTATGTTTTTTAAAAAATAAATACTCAGGCAAGAGGAGAGCATGTCACCATCTCGGGGAGATCTGTGACATCTTGAGAGGATCTGTGTTATCTCAGAGGGATCTGTGCTGAGAGGGATCTGTGCTGAGACGGATCTATGCCATGTCAGTGGGATCTGTGCCGTCTTGAGGGGATCTGTGCTATCTCAGAGTGATCTGTGCTGAGAGGGATCTGTGCCATGTCAGAGGGATCTGTGCCATGTCAGAGGGATCTGTGCTGAGAGGGATCTGTGCTGAGAGGGATCTGTGCCATGTCGGAGGGATCTGTGCCATCTTGGGGACCCCACCCACCTCAGTGGGATCCTTGCTTGCTGAGTTTTCTGCCCTCAGGGATCTCATCTTTTATACAGACATCTTCTTACCACTTTTGTGACTTGCCTGATATTGCTTACTGTTCTCTGGATCTTAACTCGACGTGTATTGTTGGGGGAGCAGTTCATTAGTACAGAGTTATGGAAGTGTCCAGGAGCCTTGCCGTGGCCGTCAAGATACTTCTCACGGGTCATGCTGTAGCAGGTGGGAGGCCTGCCCCACCTTGAGAGTGGTACATTACATAACTAAGGCGTGGCAGAGCCAGAGAGAGTCAAACCCAGAAAAACCCAATGAACTCATGAATGACTGAATTGATGACTGAAGAGATGGGATTTGTTCCTGAGGTAATAAGAATTCAAATATATAGCTCTAGAGTTGTGTTGTGCATCTAGATTGTTTTAAGGGAGATAAAGATAATCTGAAAATAAGAAGTCTACCTATACTTTAAATATGTCCATGAAGAAGTCACCACAACTCATCATATTTTGGCACAAGACTCGTGCTTAATATTAAGTATGTCTCACTGAATTAGAGAGGCTAGCCATCAAGGCCAATTCCACAAGTGAGGCAGGTAAGGAACTCTAAACAAAAATGAAGCAGGAGATGTGATATTCCTGCCAGTAACTATATAAGGGACATCTAAAAATCATTATCTCCCAGAATGTGGACTCTTTGGTGTTATATAAATACACGCAGAAGTTCAGAATGTTGTGTTTATACCATGTTGTTCAGTAAAACAAACGACTTTCCTCTTTATCTTTTTGATCGCAGGATACAAAAATAATCTGTTAACTGATATTAAACTGCTCATTGTATTGAGCTGGAATGAAAATATTTGTAGTTACTTTTAAAATAAATCAGCATCTATTTTAAGGAATGAAGATTAGATATGTTGCAATAAAATTACTTTATTTCAAGGGAAATACAGCTTTGTCAGATTTAAATCAAATGACGGCAGTTTAGAGATACACATATATTTAGACTATGTACTTTTCTCAAACAGTATAGATACTCTTTTGATAGTTTTTTTGTAAAGACATAAAGCATACTTTATGATATACAATCTTTTTATCACAAACTATATACATTTCTCAGATACGGACTAAGGCAAATGGACCTGACTAGGAAGCCACAGTTGTACAATACAGACAACAAGCTTTACAAGTTCAGCTTTCATGTGAGACTTTAGGAACACCACCAAGACAATTGGCCATGGTGCTGTGGTCAGCAATGTGCCTCTTTAAGACACTGGCTGAATTCATGAAAGGTTCAGAAAATCGACAACTCTCACGTAGGAAATCTTTGTACAGAATATACAGTAAGAGGCGCAAGTAGGCCACAGTCTCTGAAAGCTAAGCAGACACCAGAGCTTTCCTGTCCTCTGGAAGCTGAGCAGAATGACCTTGAACTCCCCTGTCCAGCTGCTAGTTCTGTGCCTTTATGTGGAAGTCAAAACTCACAGAACACGAGGAGGTGGTGGTGTGTATGTGGTTGGGAGGTGGTAGGTTGGGGAGAACGCATTTCTGCCAGTGGGATTTTCCAGGCCCACACCAGCCACTAGTTTCTGACAACATTCTTTGAGTGGCCATCACGGATGCCGTGCGAATTGTGGTCAACTGTGGCTTTGTTTTGCTGCAAAGGGAGGGAAACACTTTTATTCAGAGTGACTCGATCCATTGTCTGTGTAAATGCAAGCTGCTGCTGCTCCTTTGGTGTCAAAGTGGCTGGGAGGAATGTTTCTCTGGGTCCTTCTTCCTGGTCCTTTCTTTGGGTCTCTTCACAGACCGGCTTTGCCAGCCTCACTCTACCTCAAAGCCGGGGGCCGGCTTCTTGGTTGAAGAGCTCAGGTGGTCGGAAGGACGGTAGGAAAGCGTGCTCATCTTTGTGGACAGAGTTGAGTGGGATTTGGCTTTCGGGGGAATATATTTCAGAAGCTGGAGGAAATACTTTTTAAACTTCTTCCCCAGAAAACCATAGAAGAGAGGATTCAAGCAGTTGTTGAAATAGGCTAAGCAAATGGTAATGGGCAGGGCAGTGTCCACAACGTCGGAGACGGTGCAGTCACGGATGACACCCAGTTGGATCAGCACATCCAGAAAGGTGAAGATCTGGTGTGGCACCCAGGAAAAGAAAAAGAAAAGCACAATTGCCATGATGATCTTGAAGATGTCATCGTTCCTCGGCTTGTTCTTCTGGATCTCGTAAGCCCTCTTGAGGGCTCTCCAGATCAGGGTGTAACTGGTCAGAATGATCAGAAAAGGGAACGTGAAGCCCAGGATATTTTTGGTCAGGCCTAGTCCTATGGGGAGGGTGGAGTTCTGAGATTCGTAGTGGAAAGCGCACACAGTGATATTGGTGTTCTCGATGAAGTAGACATTCCGGTGGATGACAGCAGGTAGGCTAGCCAGCCCGGCCAGCAGCCAGATAATGATGCAGGTGATCTTGGCCACCAGCATGGTACGGCGGAGGCGGGACTTCATCGGGTGAACAATGGCCAGGTAGCGATCAATGCTCAGACACGTGAGCAGAAACACACTGGCATAGAGGTTGAAACTCACACTGGCAGAGGCGATCTTGCACAGGTAGTTGCCGAAGGGCCAGCGGTATTCCATCGCCGTGTAGACAGCCCACAGGGGCAAAGTCAACAAGAAGCACAGGTCAGCCAGTGCTAGGTTCAGAAGGAAGACACTGGCCACTGTCTTGAGTTTCATGTAAAAGTAGATGACAATCACCACCAAGCTGTTCCCAAATATCCCCACCACAAAGATGATGCTGTAGAGTGTGGGAATCATGACAAATATGTAGCCATGCCTCCCGGCCTTTGGGCAGTCATCCTGGATTCTTTTGATGCCATCTTCGGTGGAAGAGTTGAGCATCATTTTAATCTCCTGGGCGAATGGTCTCAGGCACTGTACCAAATGCACCTGGAGAAAGTAGGGATATAAAAGTTAAGAAAATGTAACTTCCAGTTGTAAGCAATTTCATTTCTCAGTTATAAGTCCAGTAACTCAACTTTTGTCTTTGCCAAAAAAGAAAGAAAGAAATAAGATTGTAGTTTTCTGAGGAAACATAGTAAACAGCTGGAGTTGAAGGTACACACTTAATTTCTAGCACACATTACCTTTGTAGAACATGGTGAATATCTTCTAGAGAAGTAGAAATAAATTCCAATGTGGTTAAATCCATTTGCATGCCCAAACCATAGAAAACTCTACCAAATGAAGTTATTCAGAATGACTGGAGAAGTTTACCTGAGGTACGTGAGGCTAATTATTAATTATCTTCCAAGTGTGATATAGTCACACCATAGCCATGAAACACTTAATTCCATTTCACAATCTGTACTTTGGTATAAAAATGATGTGTTTTTTCTTAAGTGGTCAGACTTCAGGTTATTGAGAAATAGGTTAATTAGCAGGAATCAGAGTGTGGCTCAGTACCTCAGGGAATCGCATTCCTTTCGTAGTTTCACAGCCTCATCAGGCGGGGTCTGCTTTGAATATCCAGCCTTCATCCTGCTGGCCAGCGGCGGACTTGGCTAAGGCTATTTGTGTCTCAAAGATGTCAAATGAATAAAGTCAAAACTCGGCCAACAAACCCTAACTATAGTGAGGCCCTGGGTGATCACTAGTTCTTTAGGATCTTAGGAAGAATCTGACACACAGAGGGAGAGTCACAAAGAATTCTGCAGGTGTTTATGAAATGGTGGTGATGTTGGGTCTAGTCAGGGCCATCTTGGCCACGTGGTGGATAGGGAATTGGGTTTGACTGGCACCATCTTGTCTTCATGGTGGAGGAAGGGGAAGTCCCACCCACCGGGTGATGGGTGTGCCTGAATTTCTAAAGGCAGGGGCGGGGACTTGGATGATAGGTTACTGAACCTGTCAGTCCTTTGCCTTGGACTTGGTAGACTCTCAGGATTCCTACTGTGCTTTCAGAGACTCATGGCCTAGGAAGCCGATGAAGACAGAAGATAGGACGAACTCTGTCGAACCAGGCTCTAGGGAGGTTTGACTAGTTCTTCAGCCTCCCCATACCCCCAAGGCCTTGCCGACTCTTTCCATTCATTTTATTCTGGTTATTGAACTCTTGCCAGTATAGAAGAACGATTCCTTAGATAAATATTCTTTACTGAAAGTTAATTACTACATGAAAGGTTTAGGGGCTAGCTGTCATCCGTGCCTTAACAGAGATTAATTTATTGATTTGCTATTCTAAAATCTAGTTGTCATCAGCTGTGTTCTGCCTAGGTTGCAAAAATCAGAAATGTCAAGGCTGAAGAATCTCAAGAGTTGAAAGAGGCCCCAGTGAGGTCTACAATTGGAAATTAAAACTTTTTGGCTCAGCTTAGGCAAAAGGGCACTGAAAAATAGGAAGGGAAACAATCCACAAGAACCCCGTGGGAGCCCTGAGCTGTCAGGGTAAGAAGAAGAAGTCTCCTCTCCTGCCTCCTGCCCTACACTGAGGTGTCCAACATGGCTGGTGGTGTAGGAGGAGAAAACGGTGGTGTGTGAGAGAGGACCAGCTTAAGCGTAGCTCTCGACTCCCCTCTCCCCAGCTGAGTCAGTCTCTCCTCCATCCCCACAGATCCACACCGACAGCATCGGACATGGAAAGGATTGCTCTCCACAGCCAGGGGAGTGTCCAAGGAAATGTACTGAACGGCTTATTATTTTAATGACACATATCCTATATGCAGAGGCTCTGGGCAAAGCACTGAATGCCCTAATTGGAAAAAATTTACATCTGCATTTTTATAATGACCAAGACTCTTCACCTAATAAGGACACAAACGTTGTCACATTTGAGAGTGGAAGAAAGGGGAGGAGGAGTTGTAGGCACGTAAAGCAGAGGTGCAGAAAGCAATCCGGCAGGCATCATCCGCCCGCCCGTCCATCTCATAGTCCCCGAATTCTTATGCTGTGTAAATGTCACGGACACAAAAGTTCAGGCCAGTACCCTTCTCTTCCTTGGTGTTCAAGTCTAGCTGGGGACAGGAACTTCAGGGCCATGGCAGGGGCATGTCTGTGCTTGCTGCTCACCCAGCATGGGGAGGGCGCCGGGTGGGAAGATGGCGGTGAGAAGGAAGGAAGGCAGCCAGCTGGCTGGCACCGCCAAGGCGGCATCTTCACACGCAGGCCTCAGCTTCCACGGGAACCTGTTCTCGAGAATTCTCAAGGTTGCGTGGCCCTTTGCTGGGTCTCAGTGAGCGCCAGGCCTTTCTGGATGGAAGGTGACACCCAGGCCTTTCTCCAGTTGGTTCTATGGCTACTTGTGTAAGCTCCCCCAGATAAACAAGGCTTTTGGGAAATGGAGAAGGATGGAACTCTGAGATGAACAAACAGGGACAGTAGGAGCCCTTTCCTCTTTGGAGCAGGAAGGAGGCTGTTTTGGAGAGAAGCTAAAGTGGGAGGGAGGGGGGTGGGGGAGGAGAGCGAGGAAGAGGGAGAGCACCAGAGCCTCCTAGGATCGCAGACGCTGAGTTTCAGTGACACCCCCATCCTCTTGCTAGCAGGGCTATTGGCAGATGGAAAGATGATCAAAACAGGAGCTGACTGGTGCTAAGTTGTAGTTAAGTAGATCTAAGAAGTTCTGCGTCCTATTTCACAGTAGGTGACTACAGATCATGACCACGTGTTTTGTTATTTCAAAAACTAGAAGGACTGAAGGTTTTGACCATACAGAAATGAGAAGGATTTGAGGGGAAAAGCATGCTTAACCTGCCTTATCCATTATGTAGTGGGCACAGGAGTGGTTCCTCACTCATACAGACACAACTCTAATGGTTTCATGAATTTGTGAAAAATAAATTCAATGATGATGCAAAAGCTACAGGACGATCTCCTTCTTCTTCCTGTCTTCCTATTTCTGGGTCTCACACGTCCTGTACCCAGGCTCCCTGCTTACGCAGATCCCAGTGCACCGTTTCCCACGGGAGAAAGGAGCTTCTAGACAACCATCATCCTAGGCCATGCACATCTGTGGCTGTAGGTGCCCGAGCCTCAGTTTCCTCATCTGTGAGGTGGGAAGAGATTCTTGTTGCCCATGATCATTGTAGGAGTGGAATGAGTCGAAGCACTAGCACTGAGTGTGTTTCACATGGGAAGTGTGAAGTGTGGATTATTTTTCTATGTCTTTTGGATGTCAGGCCAGCATGGACTCATGGTAGCCAGCAGTAAAAAAATCATGAGAGAGAAAAAATGGTTTATCATTGGTAAGCACTTTACATTGCCATTTAAAGGTTAGACATTCCAAGCAGTTCTTCTGAAGTATGGGTAAAAGGAAATCTTAAACAGCTGAACAAACTTTCCGTCTGTCAGCCAGGTGGGGACTTCCCATCTGCTCCAAACACACAGGTTGGCTCACGGCAGCAAAGGTGCCTTTAGTCTACTCTCACTTGAGTTTGTAGAAGTTGCTTTCTGCTTTTTGAGAGTCTCCTGGCTCCACAAAACAAGTGGAGCCTTCCTCCCTCTTTCCCTCCCTCCCTCCCTTGGCTTGAGTGGATTGGGGCAGGCTGTGAAACTCTACTTCCAGAGGACTTTTTATGCCAGTTTATGAACTTCATTTTCAACTCATACTCTTTTTCCTTGCAGATACTGTAAATCAGGCCCTCTAACCACTCTGGTCTATTGAAGTTTTCTAGTCTTTGGATTTTCTAGTTCCTGTCTTTAACCAAGAAAGCCGGGTTTCAGTTGCCCTCAGTATACAGGTCTAGTGTCCCCGTTTCCCATATTGTAAAATCACTAGATCTTTGGCTCCGTTGGCATCCAGCGTGAGTATCTTTATCTCAGTTGTGTATCCTCTGACCCGTCATGAGACATGTGACCCGGTTTGGAGCAACAACAAATAAAGCATTTTCACGACTGCTTAATTCACGTCTTCGTGTCTAAGTTGCTGTGCACCTAATGTGGAGGAGACACGTTGCTGGGATCAGATAAACTTCGTGCAGAAGACATGTCTGCGAAGGAAGAATCCAGGGCTTTCCAGGCTGAGCTGGCTGCAGGCTGGGGGATCTTGGCAGCCGCAGACAGAGGTGCCAGGAAGAGCACTTGGCATGGTGGGAAAAGATTTCAAACTGGTTTTGAGTCAGAGGTGCAGGAAGTCACCACTCCACAGCTGGTGGGTCTGGTTTAACTTCATCTCCGGGAAATACATCCCTTGGAGAGGATTTTGTTCAATCTCTCCACTCTAGATTTTATTAAAATCATTGATGTAAGCATATATTAGGTATGTAAGGAATGGCTCTGTGACGTGTCTCTGAGATGGATGGCACCTGGTCCTCTTCCCATGTTAAGACCACCCACTGTGCTCTGACCCCCCCACCCCCCAGGGGAAGGAAAATGGGACAACCAACTTTCTGTGTTCTGCATCCATGGCTGTGCTCACCTGTGGTGATGGTGGTTAAGTCTTTAACCAATCCCAACCAGCCTACCTCTTGCCTCATCTAAAACCACTCCAGACCCCAGATGCCCAGCCTCATGAAAGAGAGTAAAATGTCACTCCCACATTACAGTTTCTTGGCAATTATTCAAAAATGGAGCACCAAACCAGAACTAAACTTGTCCTTGCTTTAGGAATCCCTTCTTACGTTACATTTTATTTTATTTTATTGTTTTTGGGTCCGGTTGTGGGGCCTGAACTCTGGGCCTGGGCGCTGTCCCTCAGCTCTTCAGCTCAAGGCTAGCGCTCTACCACTTGAGCCACAGCACCACTTCCAGCTGTTTTCTTTTTTGCTTATGTGGTGCTGAGGAATCGAACCCAGGGCCTTGAGCATGCAAGGCAAGCGCTCTACCACTGAGCCACCTTCCCAGCGCTTAAGTTACATTTTAAACAACTCAGTTGCTATCCCAAACACTTGGCTGTTCATATTTTTATTTTATTTTAGAAAAAAAAGATAAGGACAAAAGAAATACAACTGAGTCCA